GTCGACAAAGGCAGTGAGAGTGAGGTCAGCCGGGTGCAGGCTAAGGAAGTGATCGCGAGCACTAGCGAGGCGGTCTGGCAGACGCATGACAATAAAATAGAGTGTCATGCAGAAAGGGGGGGGGAGCGTAGTGAGCTGGGCAGCAGTGCCGGCAGTGCGATAGCGGGTCTCTAGAGCACGCAGGTGAGTGGCAAAGTCTGCGACGGTAGGGAAAGCTGCAAGGTCTGGGAAAAGCATAGGGAAGAGCAGGCGACCATCAGAAGCAGACGCGGGTGTGGAATAGCGGGCAATAACAGCGTCTAGGTAAGCTTTGACCGTCTCAATAGTAGCAAAACGCGAGCGCTCAGAGACAGGAAGGGCATGGCTAATGGCGACCTGAGCGACTGCATCGCGCGAGTCCCAGACCGCACGGGCAAGCGCAGCAGTAGAGAAGGTCTCACGGTCATCAGAGGAGAGATCAGCAGGGAGGGGGGCAGAGACAGGGGGGCGGGGGAGCAAGCCGTCAACATGGACAACCAAAGAGTGGCCATCCTGACGCTGACCTGTGAGGTGGCGGCGGAGATCGGAGAGCCAGGCGGCGAAGTCAACCGCATGGCCCTCGGCGTCCAGTCGGAGCACGAAGTCCGCCATCGTGCAGGGTCAGCGGCACAGCTCCACAGGAACTCAGCTACAGCCCCCTCCAGCACAGTGGCCACGAAGCGCCTCAGCACGGGCGAGCGGAGGAGTCGGAGCCCGAGGCGGCACAGCAGGACGAGCCGGGGCGAAAGGGCCAGGCAGGTACGGTGGGGCCAGGCAGGCACGGCAAGCGCGACGGGCCAGTCAGGGGCGGCGGGGCCAGGAGGCACGGCGGGGCCAGAAGGCGCGGCGGGGCCAGGCAGGTGCGGTGGGGCCAGGTAGGCGCGGCAGGGCCAGGCAGGCGCGGCGGGCCAGTCAGGGGCGGCGGGGCCAGGAGGCGCGGCAGGGCCAGGCAGGCGCGGCGGGGCCAGAAGGCGCGGCGGGGCCAGGCAGGTGCGGCGGGGCCAGGCAGTGCGGCAGGGCCAGGCAGGCGCGGTGGGGCCAGAAGGCGCGGCGGGGCAAGGCAGGTGCAGCGGGGCCAGGCAGGCGCGGCAGGGCCAGGCAGGCGCGGCGGGGCCAGTCAGGGGCGTCGGGGCCAGGAGGCGTGGCAGGGCCAGGCAGGCGCGGCGGGGCCAGAAGGCGCGGCGGGGCCAAGCAGGTGCGGCGGGGCCAGGCAGGCGCGGCGGGCCAGTCAGGGGCGGCGGGTCCAGGAGGCGCGGCAGGGCCAGGCAGGCGCGGCGGGGCCCAGGAGGGCGTGACGGGCTAGGAGGCGCGAGAGGGGCCCAGGAGGGGCGTGACGGGCTAGGTGGCGCGCCAGGGGCCCAGGAGGGGCGCGACGGGCTAGGAGGCGCGAGTGGGGCCCAAGAGGGGCGCGACTGGCTAGGAGGCGCAATAGGGGCCCAGGAGGGGCGCGACGGGCTAGGAGGCGCGGCAGGGGCCCAGGAGGGGCGCGACGGGCTAGGAGGCGCGACAGGGGCCCAGGAGGGGCGCGACGGGCTAGGAGGCGCGAGTGGGGCCCAGGAGGGGCGCGACGGGCTAGGAGGCGCAATAGGGGCCCAGGAGGGGCGCGACGGGCTAGTAGGCGCGGCAGGGGCCCAGGAGGGGCGCGACGGGCTAGGAGGCGCGACAGGGGCCCAGGAGGGGCGCGACGGGCTAGGAGGCGCAATAGGGGCCCAGGAGGGGCGCGACGGGCTAGGAGGCGCGGCAGGGGCCCAGGAGGGGCGCGACGGGCTAGGAGGCGCGATAGGGGCCCAGGAGGGGCGCTACGGGGCCTAGGTGGGGGCGGCGCGACGGGGCCTAGGTGAAAGCGCGACGGGGCCTAGGAGGAACGGGCGGAAGCGGTAGGTGGGGGGGGGTCGAACCTACAGGTGATACCATATCAAAAGAAAAACTGAATGATAGCATAGAGGGAGAGAACAAGGGTATATACCTAAGAGTGTTGTACCCTCTAAGAGGTGACCCTATACAGTCTATACAAATATGAGTTATACATATATTTGACAGTTATGTCACGCGAATAGCCGCGATACACTACGAACATGTACATTCCAAATACACTGAGGGAAAAAACTGTCCGGATGCAGGGGATGTATTGCGTTTTTTAGCCATAATTTCAGAGAATGATTAAGCCTTAATGTGAGAACATTCTTGTGTCATGGGCACATGTAGTCTCAACTCTGTCCCTTGGTGTTAGCTCGTTCACCTCATACAAACATGCTCAGTTCACATTATACATACAAGGTCATCATCCGGACAGTTTTTTCCCTTGTCACCAAAAGATCTACTAATCCAGATTCTAGTAGCTAGTCCATCTTCCCCCAGCCTTGATCACAGCACGCACACGCTTCGGCATGCTGTCTATGAGCCTCTTGCAAAAATCCGCGGGAATCTGCTCCCACTCCTCTTGGATCCGCTCCCAAAGTTCCACCATTCCTGATGGTGGCTGCTCGTACTTGGACAGCTCCTTTTTGAGGTGAGCCCAGAGATTCTCGATCGGGTTAAGATCGGGGGAGGAGGAGGGCCAGACGAGCACGGAATAGTCCTGCTCCCCAAGGTATTCCTGCACTAGGCGACACTTATGCTTGGGGTCGTTATCATGCTGGAAAATGACTTTACATGGCGTGAGGCTATAGAACTCGATAGTGGATGTGAGTTCATCCTGTAAAATGCTGCGATACAATGGCCCATCCATCCTCCCATCTATCTTGCACATAAAACCCGCGCCGTCATAGGTCAGGCATCCCCACACCATCACAGAACCCCCTCCATGCTTCACCGTTTGTCGGATTTGATGGCTCTGCAGGTTGTTGCCGTCGCGGATCCAGGCGTATGCGCGGCCGTCCGAGCAAAACCGATTTATCTTGCATTCGTCGGACCAAATAACGCGCTTCCAGTCCTCAAGCGTCCAGTCTACGTGCGCCCTGGCAAACTCCAGCCTGTCCCTAATGTTCTGCTTGGACAGTCGCGGTTTCTTCGGTTGCGATACTGCGACTAGACCAGCTTCACGAAGAGAATTCCTAACTGTCTTGGGGCATACGTTAACATCGTGTGCTGTTCCTAGCATTTTCGCCGCGTCAACGCTCGTTTTCGCCGCGCCACTAGTAATAGCTCGAATAACGGTGCGCTGGAGTCGGGGTGATATAACACGTGGCCTTCCACCTGGCGGCATTGTGGGTCGCACCTCTTCGCGGCTAGTCTCACCGATGACTTTGAGACCGTAGTCATGGACGGTGCTTTTACCTACACCTAAATCTTTCGCTATTTTCCGCACGCTAACCCCCTTGCGCAGAAGCTCGATAATACGTGCTCGTCGCTTCTCATCGACCGGCTTCATGGCGTCTGGACCGTGTGCGGACTACGGGGCTACGGAGCGGCGGCGAGAAGTTCGCTAGATCGAGACCTAATTTAAGACCGGTGGCGAATGTAGATGTCGAACGTCGATCGGAAAAAACTGTCCGGAAGCAGTCCATCTTGCAAAGCCTTATCATACGTTAGACCTCTTCGTTATTACAAACCTCAACTCGGTGGGTTCATGAATATACGCACTGTTATACACACAAGGAAATTTGTGGAAACTTATTGTTACCATAACAGGCAAAAATTGACCGGCAATAGCCTAAACCCATTTATCCGGACAGTTTTTTCCCTCAGTGTAGGTACTTCATAGACTATAAATATGTATGTATTGCTCATTATTATTCTTCTTATCATTTCTGACATTTCCAATACAAGGTGTAAAGTCTTCCGTTGATTTTTACTTGTGGTTCCACCAACTCTACCAGATCCTGGCCACCATAAACATGTGGTCCTCTTCAATACATCAAGCGCACGATGACCGATTTGCAACACCTTTATAAGCTAGGAAGATCCTCTATGAATAGAAAGTCACCACATCAGGATCTGGAGTGGTGTGCGATAGTTCCTCCCCGCTGTTTAGTTCATAAAGATAATGACGCAGGCTGGCCTAGATCAGAGGAGTTAGTCTTCAAGATGGATGAGCGTACACAACACAACAGGTTTTTTTACGTCCTTTCTGTTATGAATGGAACTGCCGAGAAGCGCAGAAGGCAATGGCGAAATTGTGAACGAGTGAATGACAAAAAGATGAAAGACAAAACAATATATAGGAAACCTATGCTAATCTTCACCACGTGATGCACAGGTTCGGAGAAAACATCCGATGACGCGGAGGGCTTCGGAATAACGCGAAAAGGTTCGGTGCGCCACGTATGGTGACGGAACTACGCTCGGTGTACCCGCTAGCTGTGCGCCTCAGTAAGGAATTACTAATTCCTTCCACTTTCACACTTAATGTTACCGAGTTGTAAAATCAATCTCCAGATATCGTCCAAAAGTCGTCTCGTCACTTGACCTGCCCGTTTCGTGGCACTCGTGCTGCTGACGCAGATTTCCTTTGTTAGCGCGGACAAGCTATGCCTCTATTGGCGGCTCTGGAATCTAGAACTCTGAATGACAGTCGGCTGACATGCACAATGCCACTTGCCAGCACATCCAATCTCGCTGAGCTTCGCCAGCGATAGGTTTCGGAACGCCGAACCAGAAGCCAGTGTGCTTCGGAACGAGAACTGCAGGCTCGGTCGAATCTTCGGTAACGTAGAAACTGCTACGGCTGGGAGTGTGTGGAAAAAAGGTTTCGAAAGAGTATTTTCTACCTGCACGTTCCATCGTTGTACCGACATTCGAAATGAACATGCCAGAACGCGGGTCAGCTGGGGCTGAAAATGGCCACACATTTCTGTTAATTTTGAAACTGATGCAATTACAGACTGCAACGAGGATACCTCGGGACAGAGTCCTGCGTTAGTCATGTAGTTCCTTGGTTTCGCTGCTTTGACTGTCAGAGGGTGCAGTCATGTCACACATCTGCCCGTCTGTCCTGCACCTATTTCTCTGGCTCTCTCCATTCCTCGGTTTTGCCTCAATCCGTCGATCTGGAAGGGACACATTTGGCTGCTGCATAAATTCCTTGTTGGCTGGGTGGATCAGGTTGTGGAGCCTATATTCTGTGGTTCCTGCGATTCGGTCGTCTTAGCCTGCTCTCCGCGTCGTCCTTCTTTCAGCGCGAATTCCTTTCTTGAAGCGCTCTTGCGTTTCCTAATGTATATCTGACTCGCTCCAAGGCTCCGAGAAAGCTGAAGCGACTTGCATTCAAACACCGACGTTGCAAAAACCAGATCCGAGTTTCCCCAGCCGCCATCGGCCATCGTATTGAATCTACTAGATTGGTCCATACGCTAACCCCTCCCTCCTAAACCCCAGGCGATAATCCATACGTACCTGAGGCGATTCACAGCGATCAGTAGCGATGGTTGTGCAACCTTGTGCCTCAGTCGTTCTCCGGACCGTCTCTCTTTCGACGAGTAAATGTTTTGGAACAACACAGGGTCTTAGTATCCCATCCCCGTTACTAGCCGATCGATGCGTAGTAAGAGCAGGAACACTGCAGCGACGTTCTGCGGTAGTTTCAAGAGGCCAAGCACAGGCGTCGCTTCGATGGCCATCCTTGAATCCACAACCAAGTGGGTTTGATTCATCTCGTCTTCGCCAACCGTCGCTTGCCTCCGTCGCACGTGTCGCATCAGTCGACCACGACGGCTCCCGAAGAACAAACCGTCGCAGTGCGACCGTCGCTTTCGTCCACCAGCAAACCTCCTCCGATACCTCGACTCCGCCTATCATCAGCAACTTACCGACAACTTCCGTCCACACCCACACAAACCGTTCTCCACACACCAACACCGATTATTCCACCTACGCCAACCATTCCACCTTAACGAACACCAAAACCAACACCAACACCGACCCTGCGACCTTCGCGTCTTACGGACAAATGGCAGCCTCTTCGAGCCGCCAAGCCGAACACGTGGCGCATGGTGGCTGGTCGTCAGCTACGTCAGCATCGCGGCCAACTGCGTCGCAACACATGGCGTCGATCTCGGCGGCTCCGCCAATCAGATTCGGGGCGGAAGGAGCGCCGGCTGACTTTCCCGTGCTCTGCCTCGGCTTCGTAGCGTGCTCGGTAAGTACTGGCTCGGTGTGCAGGTTCGGTGTGTGCAGGTTCGGTGTCCACATGTAACCTGTAGCGCCTCAAGTCTGTTTCTTGAGGTTGTAACATTCGCCAACGGTAGCCTGCGCTCAGTGAATTCAAAAGTCACCCCAAGTCATTTATAGGGCACCTGGATCCGTTGGACACCAGTCCCCTGCAACCTGTGTTCTTAACAAATTCCCAGCAAATTTTCCCTCCCATTCTCTCTTCCGCACCATTTCTTCGCTTTTCACCTCCCCCTCGCCCTCCCTCCTTCCCCCCCCCCTCTCCCCCCCTCTCCCTCCCTCGCCCTCCCTCCTCCCCCCCTCTCTCCCCCCCTCTCCCTCCCTCGCCCCCTCTTCCCCAATGCAGATTACGGCTGCGCTGTCTGTCATGCTCGTTGCTGCAGTGCCTGCCCTTCTGGTGAGTGTCAACATGCGGACGGGAATTCGACTTGTACAGAGAGAGAGCAAAGTTAGGGCTAGGGAACAGGCGCAAGGAACAGTCGAATGGAATAGCGGAACAGAACAGTTGCAAGGAACAATGGAGAGGGGCAAGCTTTAGGGCTCTTCCTCCGAGTACCCTTCTTGCATTCTTACCATCTCCGCCTCTCCTCCCTTGTGTCCTACAGGCGATCTGCAAGGCAGCACGGGTGCTGTACCGACTCGCACAGGTGGCGAAAGAAGTGTCAGGGGCTTGTGTGTTGCCAGAACCCCTCGCACAGGTGCTGGAGAGACTAGCAGAGGCGCCTCGGGACGAGCTGCCAGGGGCCATGGTGGCTGCGCATTCTTGCCAGTACCCTTCGTAGACGCTCCCCCTCCCCCTCCCCCTCCCCCTCCCTCTCCACCCTCCCCCCTATTGTCGTACAGGCGATTCGCAAGGCAGCACAGGCGCTGGAGAGACTAGCAGAGGTGGCTCGGGACGAGCTGCCAGGGACCATGGCGGCTGTGCGGCTGTCAGGCATGGAGATGAGCGACCTGAGCATGGAGCTGAGTGACCTCAGGTGAGTGAATGGTCATGGCAGGTACCAGGAGGAGGTACCTGAACATGGCAGGCAGAGGGAGGAGGTGCATGGTCATGACAGGCAAAGGGAGGAGCTGCCAGGGACCATGGCGGCTGTGCAGCTGTCAGGCATGAAGATGAGCGACCTGAGCATGGAGCTGAGTGACCTCAGGTGAGAGCATGGGACTCTCAGGTACTCACAGGTGAGCTCAGGGGCCTCTCACGTGCTGTCAGGCATGGGGATGAGCGACCTGAGCATGGAGCTGAGCGATCTCAGGTGAGCCCAGGGGACTTTCAGGTGCTCCCTCCCAGGTGAGCCGAGGGAACTCTCAGGTGCTGTCAGTGATTTCAAGTGAGCCCAGGTGGAACTCTCAGATGCTCTCAGGTGGCCTCTGCTGTGTTTAGGAGGTCTGTGGTGCGCATCACGTACGCTTGCTCTGGCCTCCCCCATAGTGCCGGGTTATCAGCGCAGATGTACCATATTATCCCTGCCCCCTTTTCCCAGCTGCAGTGCATGGCTATCTTCATTGGATTGAGGGCTAGTTCTTAGGTGCATCAATGCCACTTCCTTTCTTCTTCTTGTTCAGGAGGTTAAAAAATTTGTAAGAATAGCCAGTTCTTGGGTGCCTCATAGGTATCCTCTTCCCCCTTCCCCCCGGTGCAGCCAGGAGATTTCTCAGGGGATCAGGAGTTCTGCCCGAGCTGTGCGACTGGCCGAGGATGGGCTGCGAAGAGTTGGCAGCCTGGCAGCTTCGCGCACTGCAGGTGGGCATTCACTGATGCGTCTTAGACGACTCAGCAGCTGTAGGTGGCTCGTGCATCTGCGCCCTTTCTTCTTGTTGGCTGGGATCATCTCTTCTTCATTACTTCGCCACTACGGGCCTGTAAGGGCGCGGTGCTTTGGGTTCGGAAAAGCCGAAAGTTTGAACTTTTGGATGGGTTACACACGTTTTTGTGTGTTTTATAAGCGTTGGATACGGTACAGCGCGGTTGACGTTCGAAATTTTGCATTTCCCGCCTAAAGAACCACCCCCTAAGTTGGTTCTTGGTTTGTGATCGCCACCAGCCCTGCCTCATTTGCTCCTGTGTTCTACCTGTGTTTGCTCCCGTGTGTGTACCACAGCCATCATTGAGGAGAGAGCAGTTGTGCCTGTTCCCTCAGTCACTCCAGTCATTGCTTCTGCTGCACGGAGCACAAAGAATGCAATCAGAGGGGCAAGAAATGTGGTCTCACAAGTTTCCCTCATTGGTCACTTGTCCAACTTCCTTCAGTGGTCAGAAAAGCGATAACAGGAGTTTCATGACAATGGTCCACGAGGCCTCCTCAGTGTAGCTATGAATACTTTGTGTGTGGCAATTGTTGATAACAATATTATTTACAAACCCCCTTTCAAATATACTTTTACAAAACGTTTTTTCCCATAGTCTCACTTTACTTTTGGTTGAGCTCAAGCGAAAGCCACGTCATTGGGATAAGATGGTGTCATCGCGTAGGTTTTGCTGGATCAATCCATCTAGACGTACCACCCCCTCATGTGGCGGACAGACGCGGCGCCACTTTTGGGTTGAAATGCACGTAAGGTCGGCTGTTATAGGCCAAATTCATCACGGGGCTTCGCATCGATCCTTCCACCTTCGCGAAGGGGGACCTGGGCCACTCAAAATCCTGGTCAGCAAGTAGATCTTCGATCCGATTGGAGGAAAGGATGCGCGAGTGAAGCACACCCACAAATGGTTGCTTTTCGGCCCCACGCGTGCAAGGTTTTGTGGAAGGCAAGCAGGGGGGCCATGATTCAACTTCCAGGGCGGCGGCAGGGGCTTGATGAATGCTTTCATTTCAACTGCTTACGTGGATCCCCTGGTTAGTGGATATTGCCAGATCAGTTTCCGACAGGGATTGGCGCTTCCACTGACCTACCAGTTGAAATGGATCAGATTTCGAGTTGGCGCGAAACACGAATCGAAAGGGGGTCACTTGCGGGGACCACTGTCGATTACATCGCTTGATCGTTGGTCTGGCCGATCGCAGCGCCTGCCACGCGGGACATCGGAAAGACACAGCTGGCGTGGCCCTCTCTTGGCACTCCAGAAAAGAATGATGACCGCAATACACACGCGGATTGCATACGTGGCGCGACACCTCGAGATTTTCTCGGGCAGGGAGAGGCGCGAAGATGATTGCGTCATCCCCCTTGGAGTTGCTTTTGCGTTGGCATTGTCACAGTCATCCCCCCTTCACTTCACACATCGGCATGACCTATCCTCCTCCGTGCACACCTCTCCTGCCTACCTTACCCAATGCTCGTCCACTCCACTCCATCCACCGATCCTTCTACATAGCTCTTATTATTCGTACTGTTTCTTAGTTTCTACTCTGAAGCACCTATTTCTCTTGATTCCCTCACTCACCCTTCTTTTTTGCGGCAAGTGAGCCTGTTTTCCCCGGTGATCTTCACCTGCTCGATGCAACTTCTGCTGACCGGTTCAAGCTCTACAGACATTCCTCGCGAGCGAGCACGTTTTGATTGGAAGGCACAGCTGGTTTCATGACAGAGGTCCACATTACCTTACCTCGCGGTTTCCGGCCTAAGGACGAAAGCCAGAAGCTTGCTCAGATGTGGAGTGCTGCCAACCACACCCAAGCAGCACGCATCCATTCCATTTCGCTTTTTCCCGTGAAAATGGACTCAGCCAACGGCAAGAGCGGTACCAACAGCCCAGCTTCGCCCTTCCAGTTCTTCCCCACCACGCCTGTGCGACCGATGCCGTCCCTTTCTCCCGCTTCTTCTCCGGGGTCTTCCCACGTGACTGCTGTCTCCTATAAAGACTACCCCTCGTCGCCGATCGGCTTGAGCCTCAGCCCTCCCTGCGCCACATCAGCCCAAAGCGACGACGACTACGTGTCTCCCTCTGCTGAATCATCGAAGGCCTCTGCTGACATGTCCTCCCATCCGGAGCTACCGAAGGCAATCGAGGCCCAGCCAGCTCCCGTTCCTCACCCTGCCGCCGCGGAGAAGGTATCCAAGGCAACTTTGTCCGTCGTGACCCCATATCCTCCCTTCCCTGCGCCCACAGCAGCAGCAGCAACAGCAGCTTCTTCGTTCCCTTTCGCGCATCTTCCGCCCTACCGGGCAGCATCTGCGGCCGGTTGGTGGGCTCCCTTCGTCGCGTTTCCCTCCCACGCCCTGCCCACTCTCTCGCCCGCCGCCGGTCAAGCGCAGCAGCAGGCGCCGGGGACGCAGCCGAAGCCGTTTGTTGCGAATGTGGCGCCGTGGTTTTACTTTGGTCCTCCGCCTTTCCTTCCCCGCCCGTATCCGGCCGTACTGCCTTCCGCCGCCGCTGTGGATATGCATCTGGAGCCCAAGACTGGATTGGCTGTTGCGGCTTCTACGCAGTCTGGTGCTGCTTCTTCCGTCTCAACGAAAGCTTCTGCTAAGCGAAACCCGTCAGCGAAATTGATGGCGAAGCCAGTGGAGGTGTCACCACGGGAGCGGCTGCCGTCGGGATTTCGCCCGTGGAAGGCTGCGGGCGGGAGCTGCGGGTCGAATGACACGTCAGCTCTGCTCTCGTCCAATGGCGCCACGTCAGCGGGCTCCGCTGCCGCTGCTGCCGCTGCCGCTGTAGAAGCCTGCGCGTCCTCCCGCCAGGTTGTTCCATTCACGCTGAAGCCATGCAGCCAAAGCACGGAGGGTCTTCAGCAAATGAAGGCGGACGGACAGCCAATACAGCCAGCAGCGCAGCAGCTACGGGGGCAAGCGGGTTCGGTCAATGCTGTCAACACAGTCAACGCTGTTAGTGCGATGAGCCAATTGCCCATTCCTCTTCACATCCTCCCAGCTATCTCCCCCATTCCAAGCATCCCTTCTGCTGCTGCCGATCAAGCCAGGGCGTATGCCTGCAGCATGGGACAGTATCCCAACTACCCCTGGAGCGCAGCAGCAGCTGCTGCTGCTGCTGCGGCTGCTGGTGCTGGGGGTTTGGGGTTTATGAGGCCTGGGGAAAGGGTTTCTGCAGAGGCTGAGGCAGGAGTGGTGGGGGAGAAGAGGAGGCTTGGAAGGGCTGAGGCTGCAGCTGCTGGCTGCGGTGATGCTCAAGGGAAGAGGAAGAAGAGGCAGAAGCACTCAGTGGAAGTGCTCCCTGCTGGAGGTCGGTCAGATGGAGTAGGTTGTGGTGTAGTAGAGGGTCTGGGGAGTTCAAAGAAGGATGACGAGAGTGGAGGCATGGAGCGAGAGTGCGATAATAACTTGAAGAAACAGGAGGATAGGGAGAAGGAGAGGGAGAAGGAGAAGTCGTGCAGGAACTGCGGGACGCACACGACCCCCTTTTGGAGGAAGGACCGGTCGGGGAGTGGGCAGCACCTGTGCAACGCGTGTGGGTTGTACCTCGCCAAGAATGACGCCCCACGGCCCTCCGTGCTCTGGAAGAAAGGTGAGCACTGCTGTGCGTTTGCCATGATTATTCCTTATAATTGCAATATGTTGGCTGTACTATACGAAAAACCAAGCGAAAAGTGTTTACCACAGAAGAGCTCCTGGACACCATTCACGTGCACTGTGAACTGAAATGTTGTGCTTACTCAATAGACAGCAACATTTCGTGTCAAGCAATCAAGCCCTCAGACAGCTAATTTTCTTGTGTTCCCCTTTTCTATGTGTGTCTTTGAACAGAGTCGCATGGGCCCACAGACAGCAGCTGCAGCGGACAAACTTCAGTAGCTCCCAAGGCCTGAGAGGAGGTCTCTAAAGCACGTGCAAGTGTGCCTGAGCTACCTTGCAGCTGACCCTACTGCTTACTCTGATACTACAGTAAACCTGCTCGTTACCTGACAGACTAACCTGCAACCTTGCAGCATGCCATTCACTCCACCTATTCTGCAGCTTGCCTTGATTTCTGACTGCAGCCTTGGTTCCGTGAATGGGGTGGGGGAGTCCTTGGCAATAATGAATGGCTGGCCGTGCTGGCTCTGAGGTTGCAATGTAGAGCACAAAACTGATGAGTAGCTAATTTTAAATTCGAGTGTAACTCAGTACACGAGTGATGACAGGCATATTGTAGAAGTTTGTCTCGAAAGTTCAGGCTAGCAATATGAAGAAGGCAAGAAGACCTGAAGTTTTAAATTCATATTCAGTGTCTGAATGGCGTAAATAATCCATATTTGGTAAAACATGGCCTTGAAAACAAGATTTATGGTGCCCAATTTCGTTTCGAGGTCATAAGTAAAAAAATACGGTATAAAACGCCTCTATTAGCGAAAAGGCCCGTATTGGTTGTTTATGCTGTAACAGCGAGGTACGCTATAGAGGATCAAAGGTTGACATTGACAAACCTGAAGGTTGGTGGCCGACAACCCTGAAGGTTGACCTCACCTCACATGGAGACGAGGGACGGCAATTTCAACACTCTAATGGCGTGTGACATTTCCAACGTAACGGGCTTGGGGTGGTAATTTCGGGTGGTTACCAGTCTGCGAAAAATGCGAGCAGTTTCGCGAATACCCTCAATTAAATATGTCACATCTGGGTACGTCCCGCTAAAATTACAGGGCTCGCTCGCGCATGTCCGAACCTGCCAGACCAGTGTCCGCATTTGAGATCTAGTATGACCACACACCCTGTCATGACGGTGTGCACTGTTACTCAAAAGCGATCAGGACGAAAATGCTACACACCAAAATTCGCACTTTGAAGGTTGGTGAGTGGTGGTGACAAACAACAGTTTTTCATCGGACCAGTCGTGATCGTCGGACGGCTTTGACGAAACATTGACGATTTTACTTTGTCGTCGCATGACTGTGGACTGGCCACGTGTACATACGGTGTTGTGGCCTCGACTGGGTGCCGAATACAGTTTCAAAACTTGCAATTTTGGAACCTGCTTTTCGATCCTCAAATGTTGGCGAGTCCGCACCCGATGTATGTTTATTCGATACGGACTTTTGCATTTTTTCAAAATGTCACACGCCCTTAGCCCTGCATCCACCACACAGAGCCACACCACACACACGCGGGTGTTTATGTAGATATCCCTGGTTGTTTCCCAGAGTTTATGTAGAAATCGCTGTTCCGCTGTCGTCGGTAGGACGAGCTAGTCCGTGCTAGTCCGTGCGGCCCCGCGTTCAGGCAACAGCGCGAGGAGTGGAATTTCTGCTGCTTCCGTCCGGCTCGGACGACTAGGCCGGTTCGAGTCGTTGGTTCGTGTAATTTCTGTCATTTGTTTTGGTGTCGTCAGTAGGACGTGTTGACTTTTGAGTCGACTCAAAAGTTGGTTCGTATAATTTCTGTCGGCTGTGTGGTGTCGTCAGTAGGAGGTGGTAATCCCTGCTACGAGAATGGGTGGAGTGGAGTCCGTGCTGGTTCCGTCCGACTCGGACGACGATGACGAGCGGCAAGAGCGACGGGAAGCGCGGCGAAGGGAAAAGTACTTCCGCGAAATGCAGAGGCGACAGCAGCTGCTGCTGCAGCAACAGCAGCAGCAGGCGGCGCAATTTCACCAGCAGCAGTACGACCAGCAGCAGTACTATCAACAGCCGAGACAGTTGCACCAGCATTACCAGCAGCAGGAGCAGCTGCAACAACCCTACCAGCAGCAGTATGGGGAAGAATCGTATTTAAGACCCGGAATGGAAGGGTACGCGCCGGGTGTAGAAGGCATCCCGGCAGAATTAAGAGAGCATTTTGATGGCCAATGGGATCCTCGCGAAATCGGGGCTGAATATAACGAGTACACCCTCGAACAAACAGCAGGGGGCTCGTTTTCGCCAGCAACTGATGGAGCAATTCCGGACGCGATAGAAGCTGCTCCGTTTGTTGCTGGACAGGCTACACCTCAACCTGAAATGTTTGGAGAATACGGAGCAGGGGTTCCGGCTTGGTCTGGCATCGTTGACAGATGGGACCCAACCGGGGCTGATGCAGGCGCGGCTCGGGCTGAGCAGGTTCGGGCCGAACCTGCTCGTCCAGGTTCGGACGGAGGTCAGGAGGAGCTACCCGTGTCTATGGGTCCCGGCTCCTCCAGCCCTACTATTGGTGCAGCTAACAGGCAGAGCAATGTGATTACGGTAGCATCCACGTCAGCAGCGGGCCAAGGGAGGGGGGGCACACTGCATGTCAGCGTGGGAGGAGCAGACGGGTCCACGTGGCCATCAGCGAGTGTGGGTTTTGCCACGTCAGTAGGCCACGTGGCGGGGGTTGGGGAGAGGACGGGGGTGGAGATGGGGAGATGGGAGGGAGGAGGGAAAGGGATAGAAGGGGAAGGGGAAGGATGGGGGGGAGGGGGGAATGCGGGGGTTGTGGGAGGTATGGGGGGTATGGGGGGAGTGGGAGGAGTGGAGTACGGTCCTGCTGCTATCCTATCCCCGTCTACCATAGCTGCTGTAGCTGCTGCTAATGCCATGGCCAACGCTCCCCCCTGCTCGCCTGAAAGGGCAGGGGGAGAGGGGGAGAAGGGACGACTGGAAAAGGCAGAAGGGAGAGGGACGGGAGGAGCAGGGGGATGGGAAGGAGGAGGAGGAGGAGGAGGAGGAGGAGGAGGAGGAGGAGGAGGAGGAGGAGGAGGAGGAGGAGGAGGAGGAGGAGGAGGAGGAGGAGGAGGAGGAGGAGGAGGAGGAGGAGGAGGAGGAGGAGGGAAGGAAGGGGAGGGAGAGGGAGAGAGGGTAAGAGAGGAGAGGAAGGATGAAGCGGAGAAAGGATGGGTGAATAGAGTGGTCAAGGCATCTGGTAGCAGTAATAGCAGCGGCAGCAGCAGCAGCAGTAGCGGCACTGGTGGTGGTAGAACTGGTATCAGAAGACCGGGAGGAAATAAGGAAAAGAGGAGTTATCAAGCGTTTGATAGTTCTGCTGGGGATAATGGTAGAGAGGAGGTTAAGGGGAGTGTTACAAAGGCGGATAGTGATGATGATGACGATGAGGAGAGTCGAAGTTCAAGGGAGCTAGACGAATCAGATACAACCGAGGAGGAATGTGAGGGGAGGGAAGAGGAAGAGGAGAATGGAGTGACTGGATCTGAGGACTCTGACGGGGCGAGCTTGGGAAAATCGCATGAAAAAACTGAGACGGATAGCAGAGATGCTTGTAAAGGGGACAGGATGGAAGGAGAAGAAGAGGAAGACAGGGACGAAGAGAAGGGGCAGGAGGGCAAGAGCGAGCAGGAGGAGGAGGTAGAGTGTCTGGTGGGGGGGGGAGTGGAGCAGCAGTTGGGGGGCGAGGTGGAGGTAGGAGAGGAAACACACAAAAAGAGCGGGAGCGAGGAACGAAGGATCACTGACACGAATTCTGTCGCTGCTAGTGGTGCTGGTGATGTGGGCAGAGGTGCTGCAAGTGGTGCTGACGACACTGGTTGTGGTGGCTGTGGTGGAAGAGGAGGGGTTGATGTGGGTAGCAGAGAGAGTGTGAGGGAGGAGAGGGAGGAGGGTGATGGAGTGTTTGGAGGAGATAGAAAAACGGATGAAAACGAGGGGCCAAGTGGGAGGGAGAAGGACGAGGAGGATAACGAGAAGGGGAAGGAGAAGGATGAGGAAAGTGGAATAGGCGAGCTAGACGAGGCGGAGCAAGAGGAGGAGGAGGAGTATGGTTCAGGAGACTCGGGATTTGGTACCCCTGGCACTCTTTCCCCTACAGGCAGCAGTGTCAGCGCCTACGAACTCCCAGGCACGGATTTCCCCGAGTCTGACAGCTTCGGCAGCCAAGCCTCCACTTCAGCTTCGGCACCCGGAGCTAGAGCCTGGTCAGGAGCACCTGGGAGGCCAGGAAGTTTTGGCCGAGGCAGGAGCACAGGTACGGGGATCCTTGCTGGTGTTACCATGGCTCCTGGCCCGAGATTAAGTTCGGGAGGAAGGCCTGCAGCCTGGGCTGGAGGTTTAGGTTCGGGTGCCCCTTTGACTCGGCCGTTCCAGCCTGCCTCTGGTTTGGCCACCGAGCCTGTTGCAGCTGGTGGCCCGACTCCTGCTGCTGCTGCTGCTTCTGCTTCTGCCACACCTGGCGTTCGTACTGGTCCGGCTGGTGGTAGTGCTGCTGGTGCTGGTGCTGGTTTGGGTGCTGGTGAGTCAAACGAGGGGAGCAGTGGTCTAGGGTTAGGGTTTAGTCTTCTGGCAGGTCTAGGCGCGTCTCTCTCCACAGTCGCACGCGAAGCCACTTCTGCTGCAGCCACAGCTGCTGCAGCAGCAGCAGCAGCTGCTGCATCTAAGGGCGCTCCAGGCGATGACAACACATACGCTGTGCTGGAGGTGAGTGACGAGGATTCGGATGAGGAAGACGAGGAGGAGGAGGGCGGGGAGGGTGGGGATGATGGGAGGGAAGAGGAGGAGAGGAGGAGGAGGGAGCAGGAGTTGAGGGAGCAGCGCGCGGCGCAGGTGTCAGCGATTATGGCGAAGATGGCACGGGAAAACAGCGTGGGAAGCAGTGGAAGTGGGCAAGCAGGCGTCGGAGGGGCGGGGATGGACGGCAGTGCCTATGGCACAATCCCCAGAAACAATTCCTTCTCCGGTGCTGCTGCTGCTGCTGCTGCTGCTGCTGTCAACAGTCCTCGTCACTCCCTCCCCCCTGCCAGCCCTGCCCAGTACCGTCCTGCTGCTGCCAGTGCTGCTCTGACGTCCTTCCATCGAAGGGGCGGAGGAGGATCGTTCGGCAGCGGTGGCAGCGGCGGTGGTGGTAGTGGTAATTTTGGTAGTGGTAATTGGGCTAGTGGTGCGGCTGGTGGTGTTGCTGGGGGTATTGGTCTCGGTGGTGGGGGCGGTAGTGGTAATTTCGGTGGTGCTGGCTGGGCGAGTAGTGGGACTAGTGGTAATTGGGCTAGTGGTGGGGCCAGTGGTGCTGGTGGGGGAATTGGTGGTGGTGGTTGGGCAAGTGGCACCAGTGGTGGCGGTAGCAGAGGTGGCTCTCTCGCAACTTCCCCTAGAGGAGTGGGGCTAATTGCCCCAGTCGTTAAGGCAGGCGCAGGGATAGGAACAGGGTCGGGGGTGGGAGCAGGGGTAGGGGCCGGGGTAGGAGTTGGAGGGGGAGGAGGAGGAGCGATGGCATGGGCGGGTACGGGCCCAGTGCAGCCGTACCCGTGGTGGGTCGTGGCTTCTCCGGACGCTCACTACCATGCTGAGGAAGTGTGCATCGAATTCTATGTCATCCGGTGAGTAGAGGTTACCATGGGACCAGTGCAGCAGCACCTTATTTATATATCCTTATTTATATATATAGAGAGAGAGGGTGCTCCAGATGTTTAGCACCATGCCGAGGAAATATGTATCGACGACGAAATGCCATGGGACCAGGTCTATGTCATTCGGTGAGTAGGAGGGAGGGATGGTATGGGTTGTTGTGAGGGAAGGGATGGTTGACATGAGGCCAGGGCAGCAGCACCCATGGTGTGTCGTGGCCGCTCCAGATGCTCGGCTTGGTACCATGTCGATTTTTGAGTCCACTAAAAAATCTCCAGAGGCTCAGCTTGGTACCATGCCGACGAAATAAGCATCGAGTTCTATGTCATTTGGTGGGGAAAGCAGCATGGGATGGGAAGGATTGCATGGGTTGGTTGGTTTCGGGGCAGAGCAACAACACCGTAGAGAGTCCTCCATATGCTCTCCACATGCTCTTCGCATGCTCTCCACTACAAGTCTGCATCAATTTCTATGCTATCCGGTGCATTGAGTTGGGGAGGATGTCATGGGTTGGCATGGGTTGGCATGGGTTCTCCATTTTATCCTGCCCTCTCTCCCATTCCCTCCATCCCTCCCCTTCGTCCTTTCTCCAGCCATGCCGAGTCGCTAGACCTCCCGCATCTAGTAGGAGCAGAGGCCAGTCACCTGCCAGACTGCTGGCTAATTATGGCAGGGAGCAGGGGGAGGCGTTGGCACGTGTTTCCTAGCTGAATGTTTCTGCACGCCAATCCCTCCCTTCGCTCTAGCTCCTCTAACCCCCCGATTCCCTCCCACCTACCAAATGGTTCTCCATTTTATCCTTCTCCTCTCCCATCCCGTCTATCCCCCCTCTGCCTCTCCCATTCCGTGCAGGCCCCCCATCATGTCCCCACCCCACTGCCTTAGGTGACTTTTGAGTCGACTCAAAAGTCACCTACCGTCTATCCCCCCTCTGCCTCTCCCATCCCGTCTACCCCCCCTCTGCCTCTCACATTCCGTGCAGGCCCCCCATCATGTCCCCACCCCACCCCACTGCCTTCCCAGCCATGCAGAATCCTTGGATCTCCCCCACTTGGTGGGAGGCCAGTCAGTCGCCATACCGCTGTCGAAAAAGGGCAGGGAGCAGGGGGAGGCGCTGAGTTTGCAGGGTATTTTTGAGAATTCTAAAAAATACCCTGCAAACTCAGGGGGAGGCGCTGAGGTACTGTTGGAAGTGAATGTTGCCCATCCCGCTCCTCTATCCCCCCGTCTCTTCATCCATGCCAAGTCACTGGATCTTCCCCATCTGCTAGGAGGCCACTCACCCGCCATCCCGCTGACCATTAAGGGCAGGGAGCAGGGGGATGCGCTGGTTCGATACCTGTTGGAGTTCCAAGGGGTGGCGTTCGTCAAGGCCCCACACCGCTGACCAGCAGGGCAGGGAGCAAGCAGGCTTAACCCCCCCCCCCCCCCCCCCCCCCTCCAAATCCCATGTTCCCCTCCCCCCCTCCCGCCCTTTCTGTTCTTCTCCAGCCACGCAGAATCATTAGACCTCCCGCATCTAGTAGGGGGCCAGTCTCCCGCCATACCACTGACGAATAAGGGCAGGGAGCAGGGGGAGGCGTTGGGGCGATACCTGTTGGAGTTCCAAGGGGTGGCGTTTGACGAGGCCTTTGCCTCGCCCATCCCCAGAGCGTGGGAGACAGCACACGTCACATGCCAGGTGCGTCAGGTTACCAGTGGCTGCTGCTTGTGGTGTTACATAGGGTTGCCAGCAGGGGTAGGAAGTAGGGAGCAGGGGGAAGCGTTGGGGCGATACCTGTTGGAGTTCCAAGGGGTGGCGTTCGATGAGGCCTTTGCCTCGCCCATCCCCAGAGCGTGGGAGACAGCACACGTCATATGCCAGGTGCGTCGGGTTACCATCTAGTGTTACCCAGGGTTACCAGCAGGAGCAGGGAGCAGGGGGAGGCGTTAGGGGGAATACCATCCATCAGTGCCTCCACTCCACCCCCTCCCCTCTCTCCAGGTGCTTGGCTTCCTGCCAAGCCAGATGCAGGAGGCAGAGGAGCTGTGACAGATTCTGGAGCCCCTCCTTCCCAGGTGCTTCCCGCCAAGCCATATGCAGGAGGAGGCAGAGGAGCTGAAGGAGCAGAGCTGCGGGCAGTGGGAGGGGAAGTGGGGCACAATTGAGCCAGCTTTGTAACTTCACACTGACTTGGCTCCCTCCCTCCCTCCCCTCCCTCCCTCCTCTCCCTCCCCTCCCTCCCTCCTTCCCAAGTACTTCCTGCCAAGCCAAATGCAGGAGGCAGAGGAGTTGAAGGAGCAGAGCTGCGGGCAGTGGGAGGCAGGCAACTGTGAGCTGTCTAAGTAATTACACGGTAGTTCCTCCCTCCCTCCATCCCTCCCTCCCAGGTGCTTGGCTTCCCGCCAAGCCAAATGCAGGAGGCAGAGGAGTTGAAGGAGCAGAGCTGCGGGCAGTGGGAGGAAAAGAGGGGCGCGATTGAGCCAACTTAGAAAATTCACATTGACTCCGCTCCCTCCATCCCTCCCTCCCTTCCTCACTCCCTCGCCTCCCGCCCAGGTGCTTGGCTTCCCGCCAAGCCAAATGCAGGAGGCAGAAGAATTGAAGGAGCAGAGCTGCGGGCAGTGGGAGGGGAAGAGTCGGGCAGATGTGTTCCCCAGGGAAGCATCTCTCCCGCGAATCACGAGCGCGCAGCCAGATTTTTTCTGCCCGGGGGGAGAGTCGCAGCGGCAGGTGAGATACAGCATAGATCTCTAGCTTTGAGGTGCGGCATTTGTGGCGTGAGCTACGGTTCCTGAAGCTTGGCTCGTGCCGTGTGTAGGTTGAGTTGCCCCCCACCTTTTTTTTTCAGAGTCTCAAACATACGTACAATACAGCACGCAAGGGTATAACCTTCTTGAGATGTCCAAATAACATCTACATCAATAATTATATCCTTAACTTTTTATATATACATATACATTTTTTTTTTGGGGGGTTTGACCCTATATCCTTTCCCCCGAAACCCTTAGCCCACCCAGGTTGAATTCCGAAAGGTCGAGTTTTTCAACCACCTAGCAGTCACCCTTTGGTAGGTGCAGTCCGAATGGTGGAGAATTCTAAATGATCCGATGACTTCCTCTCTGCCCCTCTCCCACCCAGGTTGAATTCCGAATGGTCGAGTTTTTCAACCATCTCGCAGTCACCCGCTCCTCCACGCTCCTAGCTAAACGCCACTCCATGCCGCCCAACGCCCCTCCCCTCCCACCGTACCGCATCGGCATCTTCTCCCACTCCACGGCAATCAAGTGCCTCTTGAAAGGCCTCACCGGCTCTAGCCCACACTTCACTCACAGATTTGACATAGCAGTTTCGTCCCTAACTGTCCTGACCTACTCTCCTGGAGCCAATGCCCGAATGCCACGTGGCACAGGCAGCAATGGGGGCACCGGTGCTTTTGGTGCCACCACTGGTACAAGCAGTGGTGCTGCTGGTGCTGCTTTTGCTGCTTCTGATGGTGGGGGTGGTGTTGGTGGGTGGAGGGTGGGGAGAGTGAATGACACGACTCACCTGCTGCTGGCACGGGGGCCTCTCCCCCAGGCACATATAGCTGCTCTCAGAGCACGCTTTCCTGGAAACGAGGGGTCAGAGTCCACTGTAGCTGTTGCGTACGAAGGGTGATGAGAGGAGGGTGAAGGGAGTGTGTTGGCGGATGTGCTGCTTCTGCTACCTGTGGTGGTGGGGGTGCTGCTACTGGTGGTGGTGGTGGTGCTGCAGCTGCTGCTGCTTTTGGTGGGGGTGGTGGTGGGTGGAGAGTGGGGAGAGTGAACGACACGACTCACCTGCTGCTGGCATGGGGGCCTCTCTCCCAGGCACACATAGCTGCTCTCAGAGCACGCTTTCCTGGACACGAGGGGGCAGAAACCACTGTAGCTGTTGCGGATGAAGGGTGATGAGTGGAGTGTGGAAGGAGTGTGTTGGCAGATGGTGGGGCTGCTGCTATTAGTGGTGCTGCTGCTGCTGGTGCTGCATTTCCTGGAAACTAGGGATCAGAAACCACTGTAGCCGTTGTTGAAAGGAAGTGGTCCTTGCAGCTAGATTGAGTGTGTTTCTGGGAAAGGAAGGGTGGAAAGGGATGGGAATACAGAGTTGGAGAGGGGGAGGGGGGGGGGGGGGGAGGGATGGGAATACAGAGTTGGGAGGAGGGTGGGAAGGGATGGGAATACAGAGTTGGAGGCGGGGGGGAAGGCCGATCGGATGTTGTGGTCATCACAGCTGTAATGTGAATTTGATTCTGATATGTTGTGCGTTTTATATCTAACAGTGTACAGCTTATCTGGTATGTTGACTGGTCTTCTTTCCAGAACACTTCTGGACTGGAGCACTCAAATGGTCGGAGGGGGCCCCGCCTTGTCGTATCCGTACAATGATGAGTCGCGGAGCGTGGTCGCTTTGATAAACCCCTAGGCTAGCGCCGCGCGAAGCGGTGGCCCTAGCGAACTCGGCGAAGCAAACTTGAGTTACTCCGCCACATTGACCAGCCCCCAAGCCTCGCACGAGCAGCGACAACCATTTCGCCTAAACCCAACGAAACAAATTCACGCTTTACGGTGGTCGCGAATCTACTGACAATGTTCTCGCAATTTCAACGAATTCGGCAACCTCTTTTCGAAGCGCATCCAGCACCAGCACCATATAAATGTCCCCCGAACTTCTTCAATCTTCATCTCACTCTTGTTCACCCCCACTCCAAAATTCCTGCAAACCACAGATCCAACGACACAACTTCCACTCAGCTTACAAAGCTAGCAGCTGTTGTTTCAGTCGCAACTTGGACGACCGTCATCAGCATGGCACCAAAGAGCCTACTCGTTGCGTCCGTGCTCGCGTTACTCGTCCTCTCATGTGAGTAATTCCTTCACTGGCCTGCCTGGTGACCCCCAGCGTCAATTCGTTTGCTTCGATTACGTTATCAAATCGTGCGGCACGATTTGTTCCGAACGTTCCCACAGATATCTCCCCCAATCAGCTAATTGTTTTGGTTTCTATTTCTCTTCCTCTTTCTAATTCTTTCGCCCAGGTGCGGCTCACCGCGGAGGTCCCTTCGGAGGCGGAGGGTTCGGGCGTGACGTGTGGCGCGGTCTCCTGAATGGCACCCTCGGCACGCCAGTTGGTAAGCGTCTGATGAATGGCACACTGTGCGACCACTCCTCGCAGGAGCTTTTTGGGCAGTGGAACCAAACACTAATTCTGGATCGTACTCATTCTGCGCAGTGAGTCCATTCTGACTCAAGCACTGGTTTGAGAATAAAAAATCGCGATTTTTTTTGGTCTAAAAAACCGTCTCGAGTCCTCGGCGTTCTAAAGCCGTGTGGAAAAACCGTCCACCCCTCACCCAATAATCATTATGTCTCCTGTTTTACGTAATAACTCTTTGCAGGGTCGATCAAGGCAAACATGATCGGCTCTCAGGTGCTCGACGGTCTCACCTGAGTGCTGAATTCGCATCAAAACCGTTCCGTACTCCACATTCGTTTGCCCCTCCGCAGGCTCGCTCAAGGCCTTCATGAACGGCTCTCAGGTGCTCGACGCCAGCGGCGCCGCCGTCGGCGACGCGAACGCGACGGGGATAATCGGGCTCGTGGTGCTTAAAACGGACACGGACTACAACATCCTCTACCAGGCCGGCGTACGCGTTACAGACGCGGGCCTCCCCACCTCCATCGCCATCAACAGCGACGCGGCCGGCGCCGGCGGCTCCCCCGTCATAGAGTTCTCCGCTACCGAAGCCGCGTGGCAGAATTACACGTGGAACGGGACCCGATTTGGACGGTTCGGGCAGGGAAACCAGGGCGCGGCGCTGAAGGCTGTGGTGAAGGTTCTCTCGCAGTGGTTCCCCAATCTGAACTCCACCGGTGCTGGGTCGTTTTTCGGCGGGCGCGGGGGCCCCAGAAGCCCGCCTTCCGGATTCGCTTATGGCTTCTCCGGTGTTTGGTACAACGCGAGCACGATCACGAACAGCGGGGGGAGGAGCTACGCGGATGTCGTCGCGGTCGACATGCTTGCAGCGCCGGAGAGCTTCTATGGCGTCGTGAAAACCGACGCGTTTGCTGATGGGGTTGTCCGGGGGGCGTTCGCGAACCACACCATGCACGGGGGGCGTGGAGGGCGCGGGGGACGCGGGGGGGCCAGGTTTGGCGGCTGGCTCGGCGGGCGCCGCAACTAAATACGTGGGAAGCGGTACAGTGCGGTGTGGTGCAGCGTGGTATGGCGTGGTGCGGTGACGCCACACCTTACAACAGAGAACGGGAGGGGTGGGTGGTGATTCCAGAGGCAGCACGCATGGCATGGAGGTCAAGTCTGGCGCTTGCTGCTCCTCAAAGCTCGGCACTTAACTTCGGCACATACCAATATGGTGGCATTCTGCATTCTGCAGCTCCAGATTTGGACTCCATGGCGTTGCATATCTGCCTCTGGTATCCGTCACCTTTTCTTACTATCGCTTTCAGTCATCCTTTTACACTTTTGCTGTGCCTTACCCTGTAATCACTTCTTGTGAATGCATGTAGTGGATTATTTCCGGAAAAAATGCCATGCGTGCTGGAAAGCCAATGTGCTGCGGCAGCCTGTAACTTGGCTTGCTGAGATGAGAAGGCATGATGACTGTTGGGGACAGCTTTACTCAAATGGTGCATACACAGTGACACTCTCCAGCTCAAAACTCCGTCTCTAGATTCCTACCGGTAGCTCCGTGGCATTGCAATTCTGCCTCCACCCGAGTATAGGTATCATAATACTCCAATCCAATCCCTCGCCTAGTTGCGCTGCCAGTATGCGTCGGGGGTCGGGCGGGTGAAATTTGCAAACTGCCCGCGAGCAGCTCCATCTGCAAACGTCTCAGTCTTCACAATCCCATAGTACCCACTCGGATTCGCCAGGAGCAGATTCGCCACCTCGAAATAACTCTGCCCAGCCGCGTTACTGTACTGCGTCGCATTGTACCACACCCCAGAGAACCCGTACACATAACCCGTGCGAACCGACGGGCGGAAGAAACCAAAGTACTTGGGAACGGGAGCAGTGCGCTTGCGGCCGCGGGCGTCCCTGCGGGTGCCGTTCCACGTCATGTTGGTCCAGGCGGCTTCGGTTGCGGAGAACTCAAGAATGGCCGCAGCACCATCGGCAGCACCGGCGGCGCCTGTGCTGATGGCGATGGAGAGAGGTGCGCCTGGGGCGGTGAGGCGGATGCTGGCTCCGTAGCGGATGTTGTAGTCGCTGCCGCTCCTGAGTGGGCAGGGGAATGAGAGGGAAGATAATAGCAGAGTTTGCAGGGTTGATACAGGAGAGGAATGGAAGGGAGCGAGAGGTGGTGAGATGAGGGTGAGCAATCATGGGGTATTCATGGGGCATTCATGGGGCATGGCCATTCATGGGGCGTGGATTCTCAGCATGCAAGTGGATATGCAGTTTGGCGATGCGAAGAGAAGCTTACTGGAAGACAGCGAGGGAGATGACCCCCGTGGCATTCACATCTCCAGCCACAGTCGTCTCCGTGCCGTTCAGCCTCGCATACAGGGCTCCTGGGGATATGGGAGAGGAGGGGGAGAGGGGGGGTGTAGCGGAGGGAGGCACGGGTTGGTGACAGTAGAGAATATGCCGCCAGCATTCGCCTCCAGTGATGGCCGTTCAGCTCCGAAAATGGCAGTTGAGGTGAAAGGGAGATGAGTTATCACGGGGAAGCGGGTGAAGGGGAAGCGTGTGAAGGGGAAGGGGGTGGGGGGATGAGTGGAGTGGGAGAGGGTGCAAGGGAAAGCCAGGAGGAGGTGGAGAGGCAATACTAGAGTGGCCAGTATGTACAGCCTCAGGTTAGCTCCAACCTACACTCACCCACGCGAGTGCCCAGACCCCTACTGCCCTTGCGCCGACCGCCGCCAAAGAAGCCTCCGCCAAACTCGCCGCCTCCACCACCGTGTCCGCCTCCGCCCCCGCCTCCGCCGCGCCCTCCGCCGCCCTCGCGCCCACCGCCGCCGCCGCGAGCGGCGCCTGTTGCGATATTCGGGGACGAGGGGGGATGATGTTAAGAACTGATTAGGAATCGGTTCTGGATGCTGCAGACCAAGAATGCAGTGCGTAGAGAAGATCTACTTATAGCGGATAACGAGGAGGTGCTTACAGGAGACGACGAGGAGAGCGAGCAGCGACGCGGCGAGAATGTGGCGAAGAGCCGTCGTTGTCATTGTTGGATGATGCGAGGCAAGATGCGACGATGTGCGACGATGTGCGATGATCGAGCCTAGAATAAAGACGATTGTTCAATAAGAGACGTTCTGAAAAACCGCTGCTTGGGATGATGGAGACTGATGCGATGCTTTTATAGAGGTAAGAGAGTGCTGCTCTAGTCGACATGATGGTACGTTATGGGGTGGGTGGGGCGAACGGGCAGCATGAGGGGAAGCCACACAGCAAGACTGGTCAGCGGCAATATCGGCGGTGCGACGAAGGCACGCCGTGGCTTCCGTGAGAGGTATTATTCTAGCCATCTGAGCGGTGGGTACTTCTGCTACAACAGAGCACCTTTCACCCGCAGCGCACCAACGTGCGGGAACAAAAGAAACAGTCGCGATAGAAAATGTCGTCGTCCAGTGACGGGTGAGACTGGGGAGGAACAAGCGCCGACAGGATGGCTCATCTCGGAGATGAGCCGCGGAGGAGAAGATGCTCTCTCGCTCACTGCTCACTGCTGCTCAACTCAATGCCCACCCCGTGGCGCGATTTCCGCGATCAACGGCGAGAGATTCTGGAGCAGAGCTAACCGAGCTGAGATGAACTGGGGAGGGGATGGTCGGTGAAAGGCTCGCAGGCACAATGAGACTGTGCGACTGTACGACTGTGCGACGGGTGCGACCGACAAAAAGCAGATTGGTGCGACCATTCCTCCTGGCGACACTTGGTAGGACCCTGCTGCGAAACCAAACTCGCCCCGGGAAGTGCTGGATGTGGGACAGGGCGAACTGGTGGCGAAATGACGCGACGCGATACGAATCACGAAAACCCCCCAGCTCTACTTCCCGCGTCCCTGAGAATTTTGCCCCCGTCCAGGTGCTGCTGTGTCCCCCAGTTTCACCACGTGCACGATTTTTTTTGTGCGACAGCCTGCGTGTTTCTCTGCCTCCCACCTTCCCCCATCCCCCACAGCAACCCAGTCGCCGGAGATCGCACGAGGTTGACCAGTCGTCGTAGCATCGCTTTTCTACCCCACACCCAGGCGATGAGAGGGAAATGCAACCTCTAGTCGCCAGCTTTATCACGAAACTCGCAAATTATCTCTGCTACAAAATTTTCCCCCTACCTTTCGAAGTTACCATTTTGGGAGCTCCATCACATTAGGTCCTCCTCGTTATAATTTACAGCGCACGAAACTCCCCCAACCCCTATCGCCATCTTCGTTACAGGAAACACAATGCACGACATTGTCGTGTTACGTGAATTTCTTTTTTCATGACACCAAGTACAACAAAACGTTAAGTACATTTACAAATGAACCATACAAACGTTAAAAAAAATCTTATCAGATCAACGTGCCGAGAGTCAGAATCCTACAGGGACAACAGCTCGACATGAACTCTCCACCTGGCCAACATCCATGTCCCCCCCACATCATGCCTACCAAAACCAGCCTCTCTGCCTCTCCCCGACAAAGCTGGCTTGATCACCAGGTTGCTCCGACAGCTTGTTGCAGAAACCATGGCGCCACTACCACCATCCACCCCTTCCCTCCATGCCATAGCGCCAGCCCCAACAATGCCATGGATTCCTAGGGAAAAATCCACCCAGCCTGGAGGCAGGTACGGTGAAAACACCACCACAAGCTTCCGCTCCACAGTGCTCCCCCAAGCTGCTGCAGCTGCACCAGCTGCTTGTGCCAGCTCCCACTGGCTAGAACCCTCCTGAGCCTGCTGTCCGAGCCTGGGTGTCTGGTACGGTGAGTAGGACAGGAATGTGGCGGGAGTTCGTCTCGAGAGGAGGAGGCGCGTGTTGACGCAGTGAGACCAGGCGAGGCCCAAGGCTGGTATGACGTGTTGGCCTGATGACCAGAGGATCTGTGAGTTGCCTGAATCAGAGAGAAGATCAGGGTGTGGCCCGGAATATGCCATGGCTACTGTGCCTGATGCATCTGGTTCTGACTCACCGTCTTCGGCTGCTGCTGCTGCTGCTGGTGTGGCACTGGAATGTGAAGGTTCAACGGATGCGGTAACCTGATTTGTAACCACAACTGCGATTTTGTACCGGTCTGCCAGTTGCTTGAGAGCAGATGCGATGCGGAACAGCATGGCGGTGCGCTGACACATGTCGTCCCGTGAGTGGTCGAATTCCGAGCGAAACAACGAGGCTATAGAGTCGATAATGAGGAGGCGGATGGGAGGATTCTGGACCTAGAGAGCTCCAAATGTAGCTCCCCTTCCAAGCAGTGGGCGAGCTCTTGGACGGTCGAGATCTCCTTGATAAACACATGATCGCACGGATGGCTAGGATCGTCCCCCCAGCTGCCTTCAATCGACGGTTTACAGTCAGCACCAGGTGCACCAGTAGTACCGTTGCTGACACTGCTTCTCCGCATGCCATTGCTGCTGAGAGGAACAGGACCAGGATCAGGGGATTTTGATCCTAGCAGGTCTTTGAACTGGCTGCTGTTGGCGAGCTGGAAGAGGCGTTTCGTGGGGAAACGACCGTCAGTGTATATGTACAACGCCGAGCCACGAGATGTGTCTGCAGCCTGTCTTGACGTGTCTGCAGCACCAGAGAATGAGAGCAGTTGTCGTTGGGGTGCTTGCACTGGTCCTGGCAGTGGTGCTGGAAGGGTTGCCTGAACTGTCAGCGCCAGCTGCAAGCACAGCTGGGTCTTGCCGGTTGCTGCCTCTCCCACTATTTCAGTCACATGGCAGGCTCGCAGGCCGCCTTTGAGAAAACGGTCCAGAACCGGACACCCGAGCGAAACATAGCTGGTAACCACTGAATGCAGCGAAATCGGACGAAAAGGATGGTCGTCGGTTAGGGATGATTCGTTTGGCGGGAACTCGGGCGGTTCTAAAAGGGGACGGTCGAGCGGGAGGAATGGCCTTGAGAGCTGGTGTGGGTGAAAGGGTGCTTGATCCAGATGGGGATGCGGATGGTGTTGTTTGGGTTGCAGATGCGGATGTTGTTGTTTGGGAAGCAGAGTAACGAAGGTCGTGGCGTCATGGCAAAAAGGGGGTTGAGCGGAGATGCTGTGTGATTGCGAGGGAATTCGATCCGGATGGGAATGCGGATGTTGCTGCGGAGACGCGGGTTCATGTTTGGGTTGCAGAGGGACGATCGTGGCGACATCATGGCAAGGAGGAGGGGTTGAGCGGAGAGCTTGTGGGGTTGAACGCCAGGTGACTGGTTCAGATGCGGATGTCGTTGCGGAGACGCAACCACTTTTTGTTTGGCTGGCAAAGAGACGATGGTCGCAGCGTCATGGCAATAAGGGGGTTGAGCGGAGATGATGTGCGGTTGAGAGGGAATTCGATCCGGATACGGATTTTGCTGTGGCGAAGCGGGTTCTTGTTTAGGTTGCAGAGGGACGATCGTAGCAGCTTCATGGCAAGAGGAGCGGTTGAGAGCAGGCCTTGTGCACTCGAGAGGGGTTGAGAGAAACGATTTTCTGGGATGGTGGAGCATCATGGGTAAGGAGGGGAACCTGGTAAAGAGCCATGACGCATAGGGTACCAGTAGCTGAGGCAGACTAAGCAGCCATAACCGCTCGTTGGATCAAATCACCCCGCGGCACTCAAGAAAGTTTCATACCGTGTGACACGGCAACAGGTATGAACCGAGGATTCGCCGTGCTCCGGCTCTCGGCTCTCTACCAGTTTATCAGCTATCAGCTCCCAACCCAAGTCCCCAAGGTTCTGAAGCAGGGCTTATGCTAGGCCCTAGGGAGTTTCGGAGAGTTCCGAGATGGGGTCCAGAAGTACCCAGAATTTTCCGGATCCCAAGGAAAATTCACCAGGATCCTTCCGAGTACTCGACATAGCAACCCTGACAAAGGTCGTGTCAGTCATCTCCCCTGATGTGTTGAGAGGCCGATTGGCTAAGTCCTGAAATCGTCCAAGTACCCTTTGGTGATTCGTGACATGAGAATCTTCGCCACCACGCAGTGGAATGGAAGTTCTCCTCACAGAGCTCCATGCTATGAGGCTAGTTCGCCAGGATTCATGAAAATAGTACACGAAATGGATCAGGATTTGAAGGAAAATTCAGTTGGAAACATTCAGAGTTTCGGCGAATCTCAACCTGTTAGAACCCGGGTTCGGGGCTTGAACAACTCTTAGGGTAGCTACCCTTCTAGCGTAAGCCCTGTTCTGAAGGCGAGAAAACTGCCAGGTCTCGATCAATTCCCAAGGCGAACAGTTCTCGATGACAACTTCCGTTCAGAATTCCAAGCTTCATCACGTCCTCGTTTTGGGAAGAACGTGAAAATACGTTGTATTGAAGCTGCATTCAGCTGGGAACTAAATGCCGTTGGCTTTCCCAATTCCAATCACCTTCTTCATTTCACATAACAAGCGCCAACAACTCTAGTCAGCACTAGGTAACCACCACATAGACATTCCCCATGGAACTCTCCCACTAAAGGGAAACCGCATACCCAATTGCCAGACTCTCCACAACCTATGTGCTGCCATCAACCCAGGGAGGCAATCCACCTTACAAGCAGAACCCTAAACCGATATGCAGCCCAACTATCCACATCTAAGCTGCCATCAACCCCCGGAGGCTATCAAGAAAGGCCAACACGGCACTATCGCCCACGGAAGCACAGCCCTCCTCCAGCTGCTGGGCATCCACCTTGCAGGCTGCCTCGTTCTTGCGGCACCACTTGGACTGCCTCAGCTCCTCCGCTGCCTCCCTCCACTGGAAGGACGAGGCCTTCTGAATGGTCTGGTCAAACTGTGCTCCCAGACGAGTCTTGGCTGAAGGTAGCAAAGGGAAAAGACACAAGAGTCAAAACACAGTTGTTGAACTGCCTCAGCTCCTCTGCTGCTTCTCTCCACTGGAAAGAGAATGCCTTGCCAAAATTTGGATCAAGCTGTACTCCCAAACAGGTCTTGGCTGGAAAACAGGACATAGAAAGGAAAGGACAGATACAACATGGATCACTGCTCGGACTGCCTCAAGTCGTTTACTCCCTCCCTCCCTCCTCTCTATCCGCAGAGATGGAAGTTATTGGACAACCTTGTCTTAGACAAGGCTTGCACAGAAACCCCTGGCCCACCATGAGTGAAGGCCACATCAGCGAAGACAGCCTGAACGTTGCAGCAGAAATTGTCAAGGGTCTTCACACTCTCCCCTGCCCTCAACAGATAGCGGCGAGCATCCAAGGCCAGGAGCGTGTTGATCTGCAAGTCGTTCAGACAGGCCTCCCCCCGGTACAGCTGCATGCAGGTGAAGCAGGAAATGCAATAGGTGGCTCTTGAGTCAGACTCTAAGAGGGAAACACAAGAGCATAAGGGAAAGTTAGACCCCCAACACAAGCACCCTCGAGAATCTGGGATTCCTGGGGTGGAACAAAACAGCGACACGACCTTCTCGTAATCGGCGAGAATGGTGGCGATCTCCCTCATGCGCTCGTCCGACTTGTCATCGAGGTTGTAGCCCACCCCGATGGCCCGGAAGCCAAGGCGGCTGTCGTACGCACAGCGGCTGCGACCCTCACTGCGCTCCATCACCGTAGTCGTCGCC